GCCGAACTGGCAGTCCCGACCGAGGGCTCGCATAGCCAGCGTAGAGGAGACGTCCGTCTGCGAGTACGAGGTGAGGGTCGAGACGGTGCTTCTCTGCGGCCACGACATGTTTTTGCCGCCTCCTCCCCCGGAGGAGGAGACCATACAGTGCACGGCTCGGCGGGAGGACCTCTGAGGATGCGACTTCGTCTGGTTGCTGACGGAGATGTCCGAACTCGAGAACTTCCGGGACGGCGCTGGCTTCGGCCAGCCCTCTCGTCCCGCGCTGCGGCCTCTCCGAAATGCTGCGAGTTTGATGATGTTCACCGCGAGCGTGGTGCTCATGTCGCTGCTCGCCCTCTTGTCCAACCTGGTTCGGACCTGGCTGGTTGCGTTCTGCACTCCGTCGCGAAAAAATCGTGTGCCGCCGAGGTACCAAGAACGTTCGGCGTCTTTACGCAGATCGTGCAGGTTATCATCTTCGTGGAGGCACTGGCCAACTTGGGAGAGGCTGCCTTCGTGATGAAGCCCCGCAGGGGCCTGCCACCGCCGTACAAGCTGACGGGGATTCTGTTGTTTGACCACATCCTCCTCATGAGTGTTGCCGACAGCCAGAAGGTCATCGAGGAGTGCAGTGCCCAAGCGGTGGAGATCGTCCAGTGGTGGAGCCTGTGCTCGGCAGAGGGTGGGGGGGGAACCTAGCGGATCCCATCGGCGTGGACGGCGAGAGCCACGAGCCGACCCAGAGGATACCAGCACCTGGGGTGCCCGTGCTCGAGTCGCCCGCGCCCTGCCCCGTCGCCGTCTCCGCCCCTGCAGCTCCTCCAGGCCATCCCCCTCGGCATTCCTGCTCGCGGGCCGTCCTCGTCCGAAGCCGCGGCCTGCTCGACCGCGTGCTGGCTCGGCCGACCCCCTCTGCAGGTAGGCGTGCTCCGCCTCCTCCCTTGTCCTGCTCCTCGCCCTCCTCCCATCCAGGCCGGGCGCCTCCTGCTGCTCGACGCAGTCACTGCATGTGTCGCACCGCTCCTCATAGCACCTATTCTCTCCTCTCGTCATCTCTTCCCATGCAATTCAGCATAGTGTCATACCACACACTCTGACCCTACACAATAGCATTTCATATCACGTGCTATCTTCTAGTCTCTTTTCGTCTCGCCATCTCTGCGAAGTTTAGCACGGATCTTATTGCCTCCTCTAATTTTCACGTTTGGTACAGGCAAGCATGCCATATGAATCCTTCCGTCTCTCACCGTTTCAGTCGCCGTGTATCGCATCATCTTCTCTTCGTGCCCTTCAGTGTTATGATCTGATTCTCTAGCCTCTTCTTCCCCCAATCGTCTTTCAGGCCTTCCTCCTCTTCGTCATCTCTCCTTGTCTTCCTTCTCCTTCCATGCCCTTGGCTCCCGATCTTCCGCAAGAAGGGCTTCCGCACTTGGAAGCTGTGAGCCGACAGAGAGAACGTGGGTGTCAAGAGAAGGAGTGGGAGGAGGAGGAGGGGGAGGAGGACGAGGAGGAGGAGGAGGAGGAGGAGGAGGAGGAGGAGGAGGATCGGGAGGGGTGGTTGTGGTGCTCTCTGCAGGTGACCCTGGCTGCCGATGGCTCATCAGGTGACCCTGGCGACCACGCGCGCGCGGGCTCTTTCACCTCCTTCGCCCTCCCTCCTCCAGCCTTCGTCTCTCCGTCCCTCCCTTCGTCCCTTCGTCCCTCCATTCCTGTATTCCCTCCGTCCCTCCCTGCCTCCCTCCGTGCCTCCCTCCCTCCCTCCCTCCCTCATCCGCTCTCCCCTTCCTCCCCTCCCTCCCTCCCTCCCTCCCTCCCCCCCCGACGGCGACGAAGACGTCGTCGACGACGACGGCCCCGTGGCAAGCTGGCCCCGCCCGACGAGGGCGCCGCGCCTCGCCGAGGCCCCTCCTTGTATCCTCCTCCTCCTCCTCCTCCTCCTCCTCCTCCTCATGCCTCCTCTTCTCTTCTCCTGCCTCCTCCTCCTCCTCCTCCTCTCCTCTCTCCTCCTCCCCCTCTCCCGCCTCCTCCTCCTCTCTCCTGCCTCTCGCTCGTCTCTTTCCTGCCTGCCAGCCTGCCTCCTGCCTCGCCGTCCTGCCTGACATCCGGCGCCTTTCTGTTGTTGTTGTTGTTGTTGTTGTTGTTGTTGTTGTTGTTGTTGTTGTTGTTGTTGTTGTTGTTGTTGTTGTTGTTGTTGTTGTTGTTGTTGTTGTCGTTGTTGTTGTTGTTGTTGTTGTTGTTGTTGTTGTTGTTGTTGTTGTTGTTGTTGTTGTGGTTGTTGTGGTTGTTGTGGTTGTTGTGGTGGTTGTTGTTGTTGTTGTTGTTGTGGTTGTGGTTGTTGTGGTTGTTGTGGCTGTTGTTGTTGTTGTTGCTGTTGTTGCTGTTGTTGTTGTTGTTGTTGTTGTTGTTGTTGTTGTTGTTGTTGTTGTTGTTGTTGTTGTTGTTGTTGTTGTTGTTGTGTGTGTGTGTGTGGGGTGTGTTTTCGTAACCATCCTGTGGTGATGGGTCCTCGCTTAGGCCC